GTGAGTCTTGACAAAACCTTTTTCAAATGTTAGATCTTATATATTCATGAATCAATGAGCAAACTTTTGACATGGTCTTATAAGTTGATATTCACTAGTATCCATGATTGTATTTTGTTGATTAGTAGTATGAGTAACATAAGTTGGATCAATACGGTATTGTGAGGATGCGTGATGATAGAGATTAAGAACTTTGTTCACAATACATTTGGAAAATTAGTTGAATGCATGTAAAAAGGGTTAAGCTTATGTACGTATTCTGATCATGGTGTTTTATATGAATCAATCATGGATCTGATATGAATGTTATCTTTGTTTACCTGTTTATCTTTGATTTAAACCGCTATATAAATATACTCTTCAGATCTTGATCTATGATGATTATATGTTAGGTTCTAGACTCTAGACATAGATTTATGTTTAGCATTTGTTTGAGTATCAGTTCTTGATGCGCTGTGCTGTTGAGTTGCGTGAGACATCACCAACGAGACAATACGGTTATTCTCTCGATGTTGTGTTATACATAAACTCTGTTGTGGGTGATACGTGAGGATATCAGACGAATGATTGATTTATGTTTAACTGATTAGGAGAATATATGTGTTATCAATTGATGAGATTCAATCCCAACAAGGCTCCATTTATATTTTCAGTCTTTACTTTATATTTTCCGCATTTATATATTGTATCTTTCATCTTCCAAATAGTTAATAACCATAAGCTTAGAAATATAAAGACCATTGAACAATGTTCTTTCCCTTGCATCGATCCCTGTGGAGATGATATAAATTTCAGAGGGAATCCTTCCAAAACTAAATTTTTGCTTCTTTATGCTTTACTACAATTTGAACAAAATGGCGCCGTTTCCAGAGATTGGTGTTTAGATATTGAAATGCGTTGCAATAGTTTCTATTTTTTTGAGCTTTGTGCAATTGTTTATATTTTATACATTATTGTTTTCTTTTACGTTTTCTCAAGTGTTGGTTAGGGAGGAATGATGAGAACTTCTAGATTAGTTGTTATTTGTATAAAAGTATCCAATGAAGATTCTCCTAAGTTTGGATGGTGATGGTAGGATTTTGAGTGTGTTGAATGCAAGCAAGTTAGATTGTACCGCTTTATAGAATTTTAGAATGATTTAAGAATTTTATGCTTTGTGCAAATGTGTATTTTTCTTTCATTTTGCAACTTTGTTTGAATGCTTGTTTCACTTAGGACCAAAAGCCACAAATTGTGAGAAACTTCCATTGTTTACTATATGTTAGGATGACCGATAGCTTTGTTTAATTCATTTGATTCATGCTTAATCTTTTGATTATTGTGATTTTGTGGAAGCATTAGAAATAATCAAGGCATTTGTTTATATTGAGCACAACGATATCCAAAAATAATTTACCTCTGAGTAGTGAGAATTTGTTAATTCCTTTGAGCTTAAACAATTTATATCTCATTTTAATGATGAACTTGGTTTATGTACATAATTTGAAAGTTTAGTTCATCATTAATTTTTGTGAGGTTCTATAAAAAAATCTTGAACATTTGAACATTATTTTAATTTGACTTCCTTTCCATAAAAAGAAAGGAGCGTTTATTTGAGGTTTGATTGAATTCAAGTTGAGGAGAACGAAAAGAAAAATGGTAGGTTGCTATAAAATTTTGAAAATTTAGCAAGCATTGAAAAAGTGCGAATATGAATGTCAAAAATAAAAGAAAAAAAATGCTTATTTGAAAAAGAAAAATAGATAATGAAATGATTGTTAAAAAGGAAGTTTGAGAAGGCGAGCAATGGAGGAAAGAAAGTGGTGAATGAAGTTGTGATGTGTAAATAACTTGTTTAGTGAATGTTTCTTTTACATTGGCAACTTTGATTCAATGACCTTTAGAAATGTCCCTTTGTTGTGAATCCGGCTAAACTACAACCTTAAAATCCCTTTGTGATCTTTTTGCTTCCATGATTTCATTTTTGATTGATTAGATGAATGTATGAATTGAATTGTTATTAGTATTGTTTGTCAGGTGAGTGAAATTGTTTCGCGGTTGCAAACCCGTTAATTTCTTCATTCTTATTTTGAAGAGGAGTGTTAGAGTGATTAAAGTATGAGAATTTAGTTGTTATTTTAAACATTTCATGATATTTGTTTAAGAACTAAATTCTTTATCATTGTACGATTCTATTGAGTGGTGAGCATTGCTTGTGCATATTCTCATGTTTGAGCAAATCCTCTTATTTAAGCAAATATCTCTTGTTTGAATTTGAATCGTTAATCCTTTCTTGATTGAATCTTATGCTTGAGTAAATCTTCTTGTTTGAGCAAATCTCTCTTGTTTAGATGAGGGGTATACTTTGCTTGAGGACAAGTAAAAATCTAGTTGGGGAGAGTTTGTTAAGTGCAAATTTTGACTTAAATTGACCCATCTTTCTTGACATTTTTCAACTCAAGTCTCATGTTTTAATATATTTAATTCTTGTTCTTGTGTAATTCTTCAATATATTGCAAATACCTTTGGATTCCTTGATGTTTGTGTTATTGTGCCGGATATAGGCATAAAATATCAATGATTAAGACACAAATCATTAGACGAGGAAGCCAAATAAATGAAGAGGAATCAACATGTTCGTTGTGCAAACACTAGCGAGGTGAAAGTGAATGCTTGCTGTGCGAGATCCTGGAAAATTCACAGGGAACCATCCCAGATTAGAGGCAGTAGGAAAATGGTCCAAAGTTCGTTGGACGAAACTATAGCGAAGGAGTTCGTTGTGCGAAGAAGTGCTCTCACTGAGAACTCAAATATTTACTAAGGGCAGTTTAATTGTTTAGAGGCACTTCAAGTGCCTAAAAATAGCCCTCGTTGGGCGAAGAAGGTGTTCACTGGGCGAACATGACAGATCTTGTAATAACTACTTAAGTATTTTTCTCACTTTTTAGAACATAACTTGTAATTTTCAGATCAACACTTTATCTCTATTCATTTCAAACATATTCTAGAGAGAGATAAACACAAACCCTAAGGAGGGAAGGTAAGAGCTTCGATCTCTTGTTGGGTTTGGATGTAATCTTTTGATACCTTATGTATTTCATCTAATCTATGCTTGTGAACTAGTTTTGATTCAATATTGATATTGTCTTTGATTTCTTGTTTGTGGGTCTTGACAAAATCTTTTTCAAATCTTAGATCTTAGATATTCATCTATCAATGAGCAAACTTTTGACATGGTCTTGTAAGTTGATATTCACTAGTCTCTTTGATTATATTGTGTTGATTAGTAGCATGACTAACATGAGTATGATCAATACGGTATTGTGAGGATGCGTGAGAATAGAGATTAAGAACTTTGTTCATAATACATTTGGCAAAGTAGTTGAATGTGTGTAAAAAGGGTTAAGCATATGTACGTATTTAGATCATGGCATTTTATATGAATCAATCATGGAGCTGATATGGATGTTATCTTTGTTTTCCTGTTTATCTTTGATTTGAGTTTCTATAGAAAGACACTCTTCATATTTGGATCTAGGATGATTATCTAATAGGTTATAGTCTCTAGACATAGATTTAGGCTTAGCATTTTCTTGAGTATCAGTTCTTAATGCTCTGTGTTATTGAGTTGCGTGAGACATCACCAACGAGACAATACGATTGTTCTCTCCATGTTGCGCTGTACATAAACTCTATTATGGATGATACGTGAGGATACCAGCCGAATGATTGATTTGTTTTAACTGATTAGAAAAATGCATGTATTATCAATTGATGAGATCCAATCCCAACAAGGCTCCGATTATATTTGTTGTATTTACTTTATATTTTTCGTCTTTATATTTTCTGATTTATATATTGTATCTTTCGTCTTCCAAATAGTTAATAACCGTAAGTTTAGAAATGTAGAGACCGTTGAACGACGTTCTTTCCCTTGCACCGATCCTTATGGAGACGATATAAATCTCGGAGATAATCTTTCCAAAACTAAATTTTATCTTCTTAGACTCCTTCAGTCAACGTAACAAAAATTATCCGTGCAGAGCTCAAAAGTCAGGAATCTTTTCTCTTGTGAGGATGAAAGGAAAAGTTCTCCCATGACATTTTAGAACGGAGATCAGGGAAGTACCTTCCACTCTGCAGATTCTCCGACCTCAACCATATTATTTAACTTTTTATATAATATATTATATAATAATAATTATATAATTTTGCATGTTTTTTTTTTATAAAAGGTGACATAATATATAGCGTTATTTTAATAAACTTTATGAGAATTAATGTAATTTTTTTAATATAAGAATAATATTAACATGTGTGCTTAGGATATATGCTATAAAAAAATCCACAAATAAATAATACAAGTTATTACACTTAATATAACATTGTATTTACCTATCATTCACCAATCCACAAATAAATAATACAAGTTATTACACTTATATAACATTGTATTTACCTATCATTCACCAAAGAAATCATTATATCAAAACAGAAATTAAACCCACAACCTTTTGATATATCAGTCAATTTCTTATTAACAGAGCCAATCTACGAATGTTTGATTTTTATTGTATTCAAACTTGGTTCTCCACCTATTTTCATTTGAATTGCTGTCAATTTTCTCATAGAAGCATAGTCGGGTCAATTGAAAACTTTCCACACATCTACCACCCCAAAAAATTTCCATAAATTTTCATAGTCAATGTCATATCAAAAGGGGCATAGATGAACCAACAAAGCATGTGTAAACACTACATCATCTTCCTACTTTCAAACCACTTATAATAATAATAATAATAAAACTTCTCAAAATAAGTCATTCATTCATTCAACACACTTTATCTCAATAAGTCACTTTTTTCACTTCTATTTCTATCATTCCAACTTCCTTTCTACACTCTTTCTCCGTACTTTCACGCGGCTTCTTTCTTTGACTTCACGTAACAACAAATCCTCTTTAAATTTCTATCTTTCATATATTCATTTCCATTTTCTCATCTTCAATTCCTTCTTACAATATGAAGTGTTTCTTCTTCAATAAAAAATCCAAATTAGACCCAAATTTAAACCCTAAAAAGAAGAAAAATCAAAGAAAAAATTCCACCAGTGCGCAGTCATCGCCATCACCAAGAAGCATAAAAGAGATATACAAAGAGAATGAACACAATTTCAGAGTTTTCACTGTGCAAGAGCTTGTAAATGCAACAAATGGTTTCAATAAGATGCTGAAAATTGGAGAAGGCGGTTTTGGGAAAGTATATAGAGGAACAATTTCTCCTGAAAATGGAATAGGTGACCAAATTGTGGTTGCTATAAAAAAACTCAACACTCGTGGACTTCAGGTATACATCTATTGTTAGATATAGTTTGAGATTTGTTAAAATTAGTTTAACTATTATAGCACTGACACCGACACTTCTGATTCTGATCAAAAGTGTTATCTGTCGCATGTGATTATGTTTAATTTATTTACTTTTTTTAAATTATTACCATTATTATATTGTGTTTGGTAATGTTTAAGTTTGTTACTAGTATGTTGTAACTGTGTTTATGTGTTTTGTGTTTTGTTATAGGGGCATAAAGAGTGGCTTGCAGAAGTACAATTTTTGGGAATTGTGAATCATCCAAATTTGGTGAAACTTTTGGGGTACTGTTCTGTGGATGGTGAAAAGGGGATTCAACGGTTGTTAGTGTATGAGTTTATGTCTAATAGGAGTTTAGAAGATCATCTTTTCAGTCGTTCTTTACCTACTTTGCCTTGGAAAATAAGATTGCAGATTATGCTTGGTGCTGCTCAAGGATTACAGTATCTACATGAGGGGTTGGAGATTCAGGTATCTACTAGTTGTTGTTGCAAATTGATGAAATTTTCTCAAATGAAAAATTATCTATCATTGTATGACATGTGTTGACCATAACTTGTAGACTATGTGCCCTTATAGACCTGTCATAATCTGTTTTCATTAGTTTTTTAAATAAGTTAATCTAAAGAGATTCATAGGGAACATCAGATACATTGAATACCTAATCTATTAGCTGTATTTAATTTGTATCTACTTTGTTCTATAATAATTTCATTTTATTATTTTATTGGGAAGGTGATCTACAGAGATTTTAAATCTTCAAATGTGCTGTTGGACAAGAAATTCCATCCCAAACTCTCAGATTTTGGTCTTGCTAGGGAGGGCCCAACAGGTGATCAGACTCATGTCTCCACTGCAGTAAGTTGACTTCATGGAGGACTATTTATTCAAGTATATTGACCGCTAATTATATAATAATCACTACTATATAGTATTTAATAATATACCACTTTCTAAATATACAATTATTATTCAAATATATATTATAATTTGCATTACTATTCAAGTAGAATTCCTTTGACTAATCTATTCATGTGCAACAGAAATCAACCATTGTTTTGGGCTTAGAAGCTAGTATACACACAAACATGACACTGACACATCAACTACAAAATTAACGAAAATAACATAAGGATATGTGTTGGGATCGTATTGGCTTAAGACACTAACTCGTCTCAAGCACCAGACACAAACATGATATTGACACATCAACTACAAAATTAACTTAAAGAAAATAACATTTGTATATGTGTTAGTGTTGTGTCGTGTCATGTTGGTGTAAGACACTAACTCGTGTTGAGCACCAAACACATTTTCAATTATAAGTGTCCGTAGTCTTTGAACAATATCAACATTCCAACAACGTGTTGACCGAAATTCTTTGTTCTGTTTTGGTTTGTCATCAGGTAGTTGGGACAAGGGGTTATGCGGCACCGGAGTATATTGAAACAGGTCATTTAAAATCAAAGAGTGACATTTGGAGTTTTGGTGTAGTACTGTATGAGATTCTCACAGGAAGACGAACAATAGAAAGAAATCTTCCAACAGCGCAACAAAAGCTTATAGAATGGGTTAAAAACTACCCTGCTGATACCGGCAGATTCACCTTGATAATTGATCCTCGACTCGCGAAACAATATTCTGTTAAGGCAGCTAGGAAAATTGCTAAGTTGGCAGATAGTTGCTTGAAGAAGAATCCTGAAGATAGGCCATCAATGAGTCAGGTTGTTGAAAGCTTGAAACAAGCATTGCAATGTTCATAAATCTTAAATATTGCTATATACCAGAAGTTATGAATGAATTGTTTTTTTTAATATTTTTTTTATATTGATTATATGATGACCTTATTCTTTGTGCATAATATTTTAAGGAATATACTATAGTCAAGTATGAATTGTTTAAACTTATGAAAGTTTAGTTTCTATTCACACCCTTTTTTACACGAGAGGTAATGACGAATGATTTTAAACACAAAATGCAAGAATTAATTTGTAAAGGGTGAACATGAAATGATCTCATTATTTAGCACAAAGCAGGGAATGTATTGTTGTAAAAATGGGTAGTTTGAAAAGAAGGAAAAAAACGAAAGCTGAGTGCACAAGTTATATGGGGTGCAAACAGCATGTTCTTAAAAGAATATTCAATTATACTTTGGGCCCGTAAAGTTATGCAAGTTCATTTGTAAAACAACTTCATTCAACATTATAGTATTTTATAATAAAATGGTGTAGAAATAAAATGGATGTAAATCATCGAATTTAAACTAGGTGACTGAAATGAAAAATGATATTAGATGTTTTAAGTGACGCAAATGCACCGTTCAAACTGAAGAAAAACTTCTATCGAACTGTGGTAAGACATGCGATGTTGTACGCGACATAATGTTGAACAATTAAGAATCAATACGAAAGTAAAGTAAGTGTAACAAATATGAAGATGTTGTGTTGGATGTGTGGTAAAACTGAAAAGAATAAGATTAAAAATGATAATATTATAGTGTTAAAATATCACCTATAATAGATAAGATGGTGAAAAATAAACTTAACTCATTTGAAAATGTAGAAAAAAAGGTATAGAAAAATTAAAAGATAGGAGTAAGTTATTAAAAAAATTTTTAAATAGAACATTATGATGAAATTGGATCACATCACCTATCTCACTTAGTAGGATAAAATTTGATTATTAATATAAACATTCGTTTATTTCATAATTAAACAATAAATTTTTTGATTTTTTTAAATATTGTTAAAAATTTAAAATAATATAATATTTTTAATTTATTGATTTATTTTTACTAAAACGGGTAATGAGTATAAATTTGGATACTAATATTTTTCATAGAGTATCATGTCCATAAGTATAACCTCAGATACATAAATATTCAGAAACTTATTTTTTTAGCATAATATTTAGAGATATGTTGTGGATCAATGTCGTTTAAAACAAATCAAAATCTAAAAAAGATTTAGTTTTTTGAACAAACACAATAAATCTTAATAGATTTTACGAATAGAAAGAGAAGAAGGAGAAAGAGAAATCAAGATTGATTATAACTATTTTACCATTCACTTTCTCTATTAGAACTCAAAGATTACAAGTGAATATCAACAACTAAAAACTTTTTTTTAACAACCTGAAAGAATTAGTCTATTTATATATTATTAAACTAACTTAAACTACAAGCTAACTAAAACAATTGAACTAATAAAACAGACTCAATTCGACATGCTAACAATCATAGCATTTCTTCTACTACATGCTTGAGCATACTTCGACTACAGCATGCAGGATCAGCATGCGAACAAACTTCTACTACATGTTAAACCTTTGTCGAACCATGAAACTTTCATTTCTGAGATTAGAGTTTGACCCAAATACCACAAGAGATGTTTGTCACGTCGAATGATGTCTTTTGTTTATTACATATCCCCTTATTTAGAGGCTTCTATTACAATATGCTGACGAGTTTTGATCTAGCTGCCATGAATGTTGAGAGGTATATGGGAGATGACATTGGCAATGCTTTAAATAAGGTCTAATAGCTGTGCACATTTTGGTTTTGTCTTGGCTACAAGATATGTACAACGTAGTTAGTGGCACAAGGGATGTATGATTAAGCAACTAAGACTTATATGCTACATCTGACAGGTTGCACCATTTTGACAGACAAGTTGCATCATTACATTAATGTAAAATATATTGTATTATTCGACGAATTTGGCTTTCACATATATAAGGATGTGCTTCACTAACAGTGCTCTATTACTATTTAGAAGATGTTACTATCTGTTATATGAGGCAGATGAGAGGATATATTAGTCTCTTATAAGTATAAATATTTTTATCTTTTTTATCATCATATAATTTAAAATTATTATTTTCTAATGCAATGTTGGATCTACGCATATTTTATTACTAATGGTATCTCCAAGATGACCAGATGGATAACTAAATACTATGTGTCTGATGGTATTCAAAAGTATAGATGTAAAGTCGATGCATTAACCCTCAATGATGTCATTTGAGCACAATTCATTGATCACATAGAACAACAATAACTTAATTTTGTTTTTAAAACAAGCATGTCTCACCTTCTCCGAGGAGATTCTCCTTGTTCCGAAACGAATTTATGATAACCTTCAAATTACACAATAATTTTGGTCCCCAATTTTAACTTAAATCGCACAATATTATTTGGCAATGATATAAGAAATTTGTTAATATTTCTAAAAAATGTAGCTCTGGCTTATGCTCTACACATTAGTGATTGAAATAAATGACTAATTTATACCAATTTATTTCTTACAAAGATAGACTTATCTCATTACATTAACAACAATGCTATCAACAAAAAGGTGGACACTAACTAAAGATGTTGTCACTCTTGCATAAACATAACCTAATACTCCATCTACACACCAATCTAAATAATGTTGGTGGTAATATGTATGACAAAAACCCAACACATATACATAAAAATACTAATACTTCTATATGCTCTCTTTTTTAGTGAGATAATTCTATATATGCTTTTAATAACAATACACATGACCCATCAACATGATGAAATCTGTGTTCAATGATGTTTCACACAAGAGCAATCTCTATTATAACATCACTCTCCTTAATACCTTTGATATGTCCAACATAAAGATCAGTCCCATAAGAATCAGCTTCTGAAAGCCTATGTTTACCACCATCAGACATACTCACAACAAAATCCACAAACTGCCTCCAATTTTCACCTTCAAGCAACCTCTTATTTATTCTCAAATAAGTAAAAGCACTTAATCCACTTGTTGCCAAAACTTGTCCATAAGCACTTGAATCATATCTCTCTAAAGCATTCTCACCAGCAAGTTCACCACCTGCAATCTTTGTTGCCATCTTCACTTGATTAACCAATCCTTCAGGCGAACAATTTGCATGATCAGGTTGTTCCCTATCCTTCATTTCCATGCATGTGAAATTCAATATGACTCCGTGTTTCGCTAGCATTTGCGCTATTGGTAAATAACCATCATGGTACCTTGTGTTATAGTAACCTGCTGTTAATTCAGTTGCATGGGATCTTGCATTGTAATGCCAATGAATTCCGGCTATTTTGGCTGATAGTTTCGCACCGGTCGTTTGGAATATGCTTTTGGCTGATACGAGAATCTTTTCGCCGTGTTCAACAAGTTTGCTTGAGTACCAATCAAGGAAAAAGTCTCCATATTCTGTGTTCCATGTTCCTTCTCTTTTGAAAAATCCGGTATCTTCTGGATATTGATTGTATTGACCTGAATCATGAGGTCCACTTGTTCCCCATTCTTTCTTCCCAATTGCCTCCGCTGATGCTTCCAATGAAGATCTCATATACTGTATAACAAATAAGTCATTTTAGTTTAATTGTTTTCAAAATTCGAATTAATAATCTCTTTTCCAATTTTGTACCTTGTCATAGCATTGAAATTCTCCAATTCCTGGAAACTTCCATGTTCCATCAGTTTCAGGATAAGATGGATATCTCAGCTCACCACAAGGACCAAGTCCCACTTGAATTTCCTGCAAATAATTTTGGTCTTAAATTTTTGAATATGTGGATGAAAATGTACTTTATAAGATAAGATAACACTAACTGCAATCTAAAAATCATAGCCAAGTATCTTGATTACCAAGAAACCACAAAATTGAAGCACAAGTTGGTGAAATACTTACTATGATAACATTGCCCAAATAATCGGCGAATCTGTCACGAAAGCTTCTCATGTAATCCGAGTAGACCTGAAGTGGAGTTCTTCCTGCTAGAACCGGCACTGAATCACATCCCAACGATATGTATTCGGGATTCCTCCTCCCTAATTTGTCCGTATAAACCAGTTCAGGATTGTTCCTGATTTCTTCTAGCACCCACGGTGGTAGAGGAATGCTATAAAATACAATCAAAAGAAAATTTAGTACGAGAGCGAATTTCTTCCGAAACAGTTGTAAATGATTATTAGAACCGAAATTAGGTGATTGGATAATATGATATTTTCGTACCTGCAAGAGTCACCAACATTTCCACCACATTGATGAAAAGACATAACAATCTGAAGCTTCAAACCATGTTTCTGCACCATCTGCACAAGCTCAGCATAAGCATCCCAGTTATACTTCATAGGACCATCTTTTTCGACCAAACCCCACCAAGCATCAACCATTACTCCTTCAACTCCAGCACTTTTCAGTGCCATCAAACTAGCATTCATTGCTCTTGCTTTATTCAAGTGTCCTCCCATTGTCACTGTGTCTAATGGAAGCATCACAAACACCGGTACGCTATTCGAATTAGCGTCGTGGTTATGTGTGACCGATGGCGTGTGAGTCCTCTCCCATTTCGTGTCTTTCTTAACTGCTGAGTTGTTGTTTTCCGTTGTGAAATGTGTTTCTTGCATTGAACTCTTTATTATGAGTTTGTGACCAGAATGTTTGGTTTTTGGACAAGAAACTTTGTTGGAGGAAAAATCATCAAGAGATTTTAAGACTCTTGTCTCTCTTTTACTCATGAAAGAAATTGAAGAACGAAGTGTAAGAGCCATTCTTTTTTCTTGTTTCTGTTTTTTCTTTTACTAGTGTGTTATTTTATTTCTGATTGCAATTGAAGATTGGAGGGAGAGAATATATATAGAATAGAATACACGTTTTTGTTTATTTATTTTATTTTATTTATAAAGAAGTAACTAGATATTTTTGGGAAAATTGAAGTTGACACAACCTTGGTGGGACCAAATTGAAAAGTTGAAATAATGCAATAAAATCAAAAACTAGTCGGCTATGTATGTGGCATGCTACGTGTAAGTATCTCTTCCATTAGGATCTAATGACTTGAGTAAGTAAACATGAGGACTATGTTGCCAAAACAAAAAATATGTCGACTATCAATGGCCTCACTTTTTGACTCTCACACATTTATAGTTATTTAACTGTCTATATATTTTTAGAAGGAAATGAAATTATAAAAAAAAATAGTTTTCTGTTTTTTTTATTTGTTGTATACCCAATTAAAAAAAAAGACTAGTGATTTTTTTTGTTTGTGGTTGGTTTATTATTTGTAAATAAATAAATAATATCGGTTTAATTGTAATTTTGATCTCTCTATTTTATATTTTTTTTAGGTTTTAATTCTTTCATTTTAAAAGTTATTATTTAGATCTCCTTTTTAAGTTTTGAGTTTGATTTTAATAATGTGGCGTTTTTCAAGATTACGTGGCAATGCCATGTCATTTAAAAATTCATCATTTTCACCAAATAAAGTTCACGTCGTATATTTGTCAATTTAAAAGTAAAATTAATTTAAATTATCTATTAAAATCACTTCAATCAAAACGTTTTCATTCATTCAATTCTTCTCTCATCGTTACGAACAAGCATGGACTCTCTTCCCTTCTCACGTACAAACATGAACCCTAAGTGAATAATCTGCATTTGTCGTTCCAAATCAAGTTCCAAATCAACTCGTGTGGTCGTTGTAGTTAGCTCATTTCAGAAATAGAAAACCTAAGTTACATTTTAAGGTATGTTTCATCACTCAACTCTGAACAGAAAAACTCTAACTCTTCTCTGAGCTGAAAACCCAAACTTGTCTCTGAACTGAAAACCCAACACATAAATATCGTTTATATTCTAGATTATACAATGTTGTTCTGAAATGTGATTTTGTTCAAGGTTGTTACATGCGTTAATGTTGTGCCTTGATGAAATATTATATTGTGCCTTGATTCTAAACATTTGTTAAACCAAGAATGTTAATGTGTTGTGAGTGTTTGTGATTTGTTTATGTCCTGAATTGTTAATATGTTGTGGTCCCTTTTTTGTCAGTGTTGTGATTTATTTATGTCCTGAATTGTTAATGTGTTGTGGTCCATGTAGTGTTAATATGTTGTGGTCCCTTTTTTGTCAGTGTTGTGATTTATTTATGTCCTAAATTGTTAATGTGTTGCGGGCCATGTAGCATTAATTTATTGTGGCCCTTTTTTTTTCCGTGTTGTGATTTGTTTCTGTTCTGTTGTAGGCCATTTGATACCTAAATTGTCAGATTTAAAGTACACCATCGGGGATATTTAGTTTATAATCCAGTGAAGTTGTAGGTTGATGGACTTGTTTCTGAAATGAATTAGGATTATGCAAATCGAAGATTTGATCAAAAGTGAGGGGTATTGTAATATAAAGTGTTTATGGTATTGGAATCCTAACTTTTTTTCTCGTGGACTTCGGCCTCCGAAAATTGACAACAATGTGTTAAGGTTAATGGAAGATGTTAAAGGATTTAAGGTAATTGATATTTATGTTGTACACAAAGTTGAAGAAATAAATATTGAAGATGTTATTTTTGAGGAGGATAATGGTGAAGAAGTTAATGTTGAGGGAGAAAATAAAGAAGTTAATATTAAGGGAGTAGATGACGAGGTTGATGTTGAGGGAGAAGATGAAGAGATTAATATTGATGGAGTAGATGGAGAGGTTAATATTGATGGAGTAGATGAAAAGGTCAGCGTTGATGAAGTAGATGAAATGGTTAATGTTGACGGAGTAGATGAAAAGGTTAATGTTGATGGAGTAGATGAAGAGAGTGAAACAGATCCAGATTATAGCATGAGCAGCGAGGATGATGAGGAAGAGGATGAAGATGTGGAAGATGAAATTGATGAGTTGAATTTAGGTGCTGAAGTTGGTATTAATTTGACGATCGTTCTCCCTACTGCTACAACAGAAAAACCTTCAAAGTTGGATGATATGTCTGATAATGGTAGTGATTCAGATGTGATTCATACTTTACTTGATAGTGATGCTAAAGCTGATATGTCAAAGTTTCCAACCTTTAGGGTGTTGGAATTAACCCAAAACTTTGAGAATTTCGAATCAATATTGATGAATAAGATTCAATCAATCTGGTCGAAATCCCTTGTTCTTCAATCACACCTTGATTGCAAGAATAACTCTGTGCAACAATTGTTAATGGAAGAAGAAAGAAGATTAGGGTTTAACAAAATAAGGAAAAAGGAGAATGGTTTCTGCAAAGTAACTCTCTGCTCTTAAACTGAGAAAAAACATTATTCACATGTGCAACTACACTTTCTGTTGTGTGTTATAATATTATTCTTTATTCTTCTTACTCAAAAAAAGGGTTACTCCCTTTATTTATAATTGAGCTACCTTGCTCCCTAAGGTAAAGCCCAAAATTACAAAAGCCCAAAATTTCTATTTTGTTCTAAGTCGAAATCATGTGTCAAACAATTTGCTTTGACACTTTGATATCTAACACAACTCGACACACACACACACGACTAATTTTGACACGTCCTCGTTTTCGTCGAGCAACACTTGCTTCGACACAAAAAATTAAAATCTCAACACACCACCTAATTCATTGTGTCTAAGCTATCTATATTCATAATAGACCTTAGCTTCTTGAACACTTCGACTTGCACTTTGTTCGTCATGATATCTGTAATCTGATTCTCAGTTTTACAGTGTTCTAAGTTCATTTTCCCTTATGCTACATACTCTCGAAGATCATGGAACCTCATTTCAATGTGTTTTCTTTGCCCATGTGCTATCGGATTCATCGCCAGGTTGATAGCTGACATGCTTTCGATATTAATGGTAATTACTTCATGACTCTTCATTGTTATCTCTTCGACCGGGTTCACTATCCACTTTGCTTGACATGCACAAAGAGAAACAACTATGTATTCTGCTTCGCTTGATGACAATTCCACTACTGGATATTTTCTCGAACTCCAAGTAATTGGTGCACCACCTAGCATAAACACATAGCCAGCTGTGGATTTTCTATCCTCAACATTATTACACAAACTTGAGTCAGTTTATCCCACTAATTTTCATTCTTTTCCTTCATCAGTTGCAGGAAATAAAATGCTGCAGTCAAGAGTTTCTTTCAGATACCTTAGTATCCTCTTCTTCGTTGCTAGATGTGATACCTTTGACTTCTGTATGAATCTACTTACCATACCTACATTGTATGCTAGATCGGGCCCTATATGAAAAAGGTATCTTAATGATCCAATAAGTCTTCTGTACTGACTTGGTTCGACATCATATTCATCTGATTCTTTCAACAGTTGTAAGCTGGGATCAGCTGGAGTCGAAGTTGGGTTGCAATCTTGCATCTCAAATCTCTTGAGTATTTCTCCTGCATATCGTCTTTGGTGCATCATCAAACCTCTACCACTCTTATAAAACTTGATACCAAGGAAGTATAAGAGATTTCCCAAGTCTGACATTTCAAACTCCATACTTAGGTCATGTTGATGTCTTTGATTTCCTTCTTGCAATTCTTGTTATCAATAGGTCATCGACATAGAGACTGTATAAACAATTCACTATTGCTTCTCGTTACATATACTCCATGCTCAGTTATGCACTTCACAAATTTCTTCTCCCTTAGAAAGCTATCTATCTTCTTATTCCAAGCTCTTGGAGCTTGCTTAATTCCATACAAGGCTTCATACAACCTGTACACCTTTCTTTCTTCGCCTTGTTTCACAAACCCAGGTGGTTGTGCGTCATAAACTTCATCTAAGGGGCCATTCATGAATTCACATTTCACATCCATTTGACATACCTGCCAATTGTTCATGTTTGCTAGACCAACAACCAACATGATTGTTTCGATCCTAGTAACGGGTGCAAAAACTTTGTCGAAGTCGATTCCTTCTTTCTGAAGAAATCCTTTTGCTACAAGTCTTGCCTTGTGTCGAGTTACTTCTCCTTTAGGATTCAACTTCACCTTGTATACCCATTTCACATCAATTGCCTTCTTGTCTTGAGGCAATTCGACAAGTAACCAAGTGTTGTTGACTTTGATGGACTTCACTTCCTTATTCATTACTTTCCCCCACTTCGAATCTTTCAATGCCTTAACTACATTGACTGGTTCGACATATGCGTAGAAAGCATAGTGTACCAGCTCACCTTCTTCATTGACCACATCATCTAATGTAATCACACATTCTTGCAACCTTGCAGGCATGTGTCTTGTTCGTTGAGGTCTGTTTAGGCCTGATTTACCTCTGACTTCTTCTTGTCAAACTTTTCTTTCGAATTTACTAGCGGGTTCTTCACATAAAATTCTCATTGAATCCTTCTTAACATTCTCAGTCCAATCCCATTCTTTAAGCTCATATATGATCATGTCCGTATTGATCACTACTTGCTTATTCACTGTGTCGAACAACTTGTATCCTCTAGTCAAATGATATCCTATTAGGATCATTTGAATCGACTTGTTATTGTCATACCCTAAATTTGCCCGCCAACTTTTGTAAATATTTTCGCATTTTATTTCGCATTTTTCACGCCATTTAGACACGTGTCCGCCTCCGATTGAGCGTTTTTCAAATCATGATTATTTTGCCCAATGGGAGCGCGACACGTGGCCTAAGGGCATTTTCGTAAATATTTCAATCCTTTTTAATTTCTCTTTTTCCTTGCAAATATTACTGTTTTGTTCATTTTTTATTTTTATCACCTATTTAATTTAATTAGATGTAGAATTTTGTTTTATTATATTTTTAGA